AATAGGAATAAGATACCTGGACTCTTTATTCTTAAGGGAAATCACAAAATAGAAGAAGTAATATATTTTTAGGATAGACAGTAAAGATGCTGGTGGAGGATGCCATGACCTGAGTGAAGCATGAGCAAGACATCTCGTCTTTTAAAATTACATGCTCCAAGTTGTATATTTTCAAGTGAGCATGCTGCAGTCTCTGCAGAAGATTAATTTCACAAAGAATTTCCCTCAGTAGAAATAAATGTACCTAGGCTGTTTTGGATTCTGTGTGAGATGCAAAGCTTAGAGTGAGTTCAAGGTCCATAGAAGTGACACCTGATTCAGAATTATTTAATGAACTGTATCTGTGTCATAGCAGAGGGGCAAATGAATGCATATTTTGGATTGTTTGCTTCTCTTACATGTCTTTATAAAAGTGAGGGGCTTTAATGCCTTAGGACTTATTCTAGATAACCTTCATCCAGAAAGAGTGAATAGAAAAAATGAAGTTGAGTGTAGTCACCATTAAGCTGGTGCTATAAACCAGAGGATTGATTCTCTGCCAGGTCTCTCTGAGTGATTGTGTATCTTAAGTAATTTTGTGGTAGCTGATGGATGTGGCCCTAGAGACTTGTCTTCTCTCCTTGGCTGAGGATATCCTCCCAGCCAGAAAGACCCTTCTCTCTGAAGTATCCAGAACTGATGGATCCCTTAGGAACCTGGGAACTGGAGGATGTCAGACAATCCTTCCTCTCCAGATTCCTTATTTCCTTCCACAAAAGCCCATCTTACTGTAAATTTGGCTATTTTTCCCCCTTACCATCTGTGTCTGAACTTTCTGAGCTCACATTGTCCAGGGCATAACTCTGGACCTCTGACCAGTTTTCTGTCAGTTCCTAAAATATTATAGCAAGTGTGACAAAAGTATGTAAAATCTCATGGAATTATAGTATTCTGTTCTTTCACTTACTTTGTCACAAAAAATAAGCTGTTTTTATTTCAAACCAAAGCTATGTTGAACCACAAGGCTATGTTTCAATATTACACTTTCTTCACTAAATTGTGCTAAAAGCATTGATTTTTTTTCTGTAGAAGTGTGTTAGAGTTAGAGTGGGTGGTGTTCATAAAAATCTTTCATCAAATTACTCAGTACCTAAAAACCCCAATCTCTTTCTGTTCTGAGCGACATCATGGCAAGTGGTTTTTTTCTAGCTGTGTCTGAGGATGTAGTGAAAAATCTCATCTGGATGCTAGGTTTTTCTTTTGGCTGAAATAGGAACAGATGAGAAATTCAAAAAGAAAGATCCCTGGGAAAAAAAAAAGGGACATACAGAAAGGAACTAAGTGATTAGCTAAAATAAATTTAGCGTGTGTAATGTTAACAGATCATTTACTTTACCAGTTCTGTTTAGATTATTTGCAGCTGTAGTTCTCTGATAATGCATGTTTCATATGCCACAATTTTTTCTTTAATTCTTGTATTCAAACTTAGTTTCTCTTACCATGTATTACAGTTATAATAAGCACTTGGAGCAAAGTACCTAAAGGTAAAACTCAGATCTTGTCCTCTTCTTTCATGTTGCTTCTAAAAGTTGCTGTATTTTCAGGTTCTGTCACTGTCCTGTTGTCAAAATTCTTGTTTGACTTGTTGTCAGAAATATTGTTTAATTTCGTGGAGTTACTCACTGTTCTCACTACAGATGCAATTTTTTTGAGCATTATTATCAACATACGGTTATTGTAACTTTAGACTACAGATTGTTGTTTTTTCCCTTCCCTTTTTCTCCTAACAAACACCCACTAATTCTAGGCCCTCCTGTCTGGTGTAGTATTGCAATTTCATAACCATAGCCAAGAGTAAAGCTGCTCTTTCCCTTCCCATAGGACTCAACTTCAGATTCCCACTTGGAACTGATTGAAAAAAACATGCCAGAAAATGTGTTTTGACAAACTTCTGAGCTTTTGACTGAAAGAAATATGTAAAAATGATGTGCTTTCCACTGGAAAATGCAGATTCTACTGAAAATCAAAACATTTTGAAACATGGTTGAAAACTTTTAAGTCAGAGGTGTTCCAGGATCATCAGTGTCGTTTTGGCAAGTGACATGCAATGTAGGAGATGTGATATGTTCATGGAGCTGTTTGTGTCAAAATGATGAGGCACATGAGTTAAAAATCCCATGAAGTGATGTAGCAGCACTACAATACAGTATGGTAAACATTTGCAGCCACAGCATGTCAGAATCTGAGGGCAAAGAGTGAGATTTGAAAGAGGGGAGAACAACAGTCCATAAAAAATGCTGTGGTAGATTTGTAGATTTTTCACCTGTAGGCTTTGAGGGAAACAAACACCCCCCAAACAAACACACACATGCACACACACACACACCCCAACCCTATTTTCTGACCATGTCTGTTGCTGTGTTACTTGGTAGCTTTACATAAGAAAGTTCAAATGAGGAAAGCTTCTCTGCAGTAATTTTTTTTCCTGTGGTGATAACTAAACCCTTTCATTAATGTAAATATGAATGGCTGTTTTCTAATGAGGCTTTCATAACTGCCCTCCTTTGTGTGTTCTGAGGCTGTGTGAATGCACTCAAAAGCAGGTGAAGCTCAAAAAAAGCTTATATTGTATTTACATAACTTGAAATCTGATGGACTTTAAATGAAAAATTCTTGCTGTTATATTTGTGAGTCAGAAAAGAACAGCTATGAAGAGCAAAACTATAGACGTATTTAATCAGCAAAGGGAATTTTGCCAGTCCTCAGTGCTTTGAAGTAAGTTTAATGTGAAGATTGGTCTTTTTTTTCCTTTGGTCTCAGTTAGTCTCAGCATTTAATTTATTGGTGGATAGCCTGTGCAGAGTGAAAGTGCAAATGCAGAGCAAGAGTTCAGTAAGTGCTGGAAGTCTCTGGAAGCTTTTGGAACCCCTCTGTGTGCTGGAAATGGACTTTTACAGTCCTATTCATATAATGAAGTTTTGCTTTTTTCCCTGCTCCATACAACTTGGATAGACAGCTGAATTTTAACATGCAAGCATTGATGGAGGAGCTTGAACTTACCACTGATAGGCTTATTCCACCTTTTATAGGATTGTCTGGCCTTTCTTGTTGCAGATAGACATTGACACAATAATCCGGCAACTATTACCACTTGCTTTCAAAAATCTGGGTCTGCAAATGAAGGTGGCTAGTTCTTCTTCATCCCAACTGACTTAAAACCCCACCAAATTAATCAAATAATCCAGACAGATATCCAGGGAAGATTGAACCCTGTGGAATGAAAAGGAATGGGCAAGGATTTATGAAGGTGCACTGATTCCCTGAGCAGCATGGGGAAAGCCACATCACAGATCTCCTGGTATGACCACTGTAGATGCATTCTTGCTGCATGGATTCACTCTTGCCTGAAAGTTTTATCCAGTGTGAATGTGGATGCTTCTGTGTCTGGCTCTGGCCCTGTGCCTTGATTTATGATTTAAAAAGAAACATAAGCATTTTTTTGGTACGTTGTTTAATAATCAGAAGTCTCAATCTCTTTTTTCTTAAAAATGAAACAAAACCCATGCAGGCAGTAGCTGAAATCCCAGATGAGCAAACACATGTGACTATGAGTCCTGAACCGTTGATGCTTTGGGGGTATAAACGCACCTTCACACCAAGACCAACCTCTGGCTTTAAATCTTTGACTTCCATTGGAAAGAAAGAGTTTCTGATCTTCAGAGCTATTGGGTAAACTGTGAAATGACAGTCACAGTTATTTATTTGCACAAGTTTGCTGTGGGATGTACTGGCCCTGTGGCAATATGTGTGGAGGCAGAAGGTATTTACTGAGCTGCCCCTTGTCTCCTTGTATGTAGAGCCCATGGTTATTTTATAGTTTTATAAGAGTGCTTTTCTTCCATTCATATTATTTCTTTCATATCCTTAATCTCATACTGGCTTTCCCAACCATCCAGAGAAACTCTAAGGCTTTGGAATATTTAAAAAGATTTGAAAATTTGTCTGCCATTCTGTGTTTGAATACAGAAGCTGCAGGAACAGACTGTTACTGCATTTTTTCCCTCTTCCAGAATAGGCTAAGAGGGGTCCACTGACCACAGCAAGAAAGTGAAGAGGAAACCCAGCCAAGACTGGAATTCCCCAGCCTCCTGTCCCATCCCCAGTGTGGTTTGGGTTGTCAGTAGATCCTTTGCTTTTAGATTCAATATTGCTCCGTATATCTTGACATGGAAGGGCAGGACAGTGGTTTTGCAGTGTTTGCAGTCCCTGCCAAAACGCTGAGACACGATGGGCCAAGGCCATGCCTGGTTGGAAGTGAGTCCTGGATCATGGCAGAGTAAGGTGTGAAAGGATCCTGCGTGAGGTGTGAAAGGCGCTGTAGCTTAGGCAAAGCAGGGAGCTGATGCAAAAGTTTCATCCTGTGAAATGTTGCAGCCTTTTTAGCTGATCTCCTGGATGTTCTTAATGGCTTGATAATTCATGAAAAACTTCTTTTTGCTTCCATTGTAGTGTTGGCCTGGGGGCCAGTAAGGGCTTATGGTGTGAGGCAAAGTTGGGCCACAGAGTCCAGCCCGTCTGATGGGTTGGGTAATTGATTGTGGGACTGCAGCTGGGAACAGAATTTCAATCTGCACTTATGAAACAGCTTCTATTCCAGTCTTGATCTCTGGGGAATGGATGCAAAACACCAGAAGATGCAGCTCTTCCTCGTGTATCATGTTTGTCAAATCAGCTTTTGACCTTTTACTGGCTTTGTAAAAATATGAGAGTCTTTGACTCAGTTTCAGGTTATTAGGAAGGAGATATTTTTTTGTTTCACTTTGGGCTGTAATGACTGTGAGGTATGAAACAGCCTAGATGTAGGCAGCAGAATAAATACTAAAAACCTGTTGTGTTCATATTTCTCCAGTGTAAATGACTGGCTTGTGAGGAAAGCTTGGGGTTGGTGGTATGAACGGTATATTTATTTTTGTCTTCTAGTATTGAACAGAAGAGATTAACTCTTTTGTGCTTATTTTCAGACTGGATATTTCCATCTGCCCCATGGGGATTACTTCATTGAGCCCATTAAAAAGCATCCACAGAAGGAGGGAACATCCCATCCCCATATTATCTATGGTGCAAATAACCTTCCAAACGCTTTAAGGAGAAGACGGGCCATCCCAATGGAAAAGGAACGAACATGTGGACTGAATGGTACTAATTTTTCTGCATTTCAGCCTATTTGCTTTCTGAATCTTTTTAAGCAGCTATTTTCCAGTGGTGTGTGCCTTTCCTTCTGCCAGGCTTTTTAAAATTCTGTTAGAAAAGATTATGCAAAATGAGAGCATCTCAATCAAAACACCACAGGAGCCACCCATCTGTGTTCCATTCTGAAAAGTTAAATCCTCCTTATGACTGCTGGGATATGTTTTTCACACCACTGATCCTTTCTACCCATCAATTTTTCTCCAACCAGAACTGTTCAGTGAGTTTGAAACCTGAATTCTTGAGGAGCTTTGGGATAAAAAGATTTGCAGTCAGCATTTATTTTAATAAAGTGTTCTCACTCCATGCCAAGTTCTGTCTTCAACATAAAGTAACTCCTGTCTGGTCCATGGTTTAAATTTAGGATTTCTAGATTTTCTGTGATTGTTAGCAGATTATTTAAAGAGTATTATTTAGCTATTCTGAAAGTGAAGTACAGGGCATCAAGAGCAAGATTTTTTTAGTGGAAGTAAAAATAGCTTGAATATTGGTGCAGTAATACTCAGGATCATGTCTTTTATGAAGACAAACCAGTACACTATGCTGGAAGGGAAGTCTAGAGAGTTGTTGGCATCTCATAATTACAGAATTAGTTCCCTTATTTAGTTAAATAATTTCCTTTATTTATTTCACACCAAGAATATACAGATTTTAGCTTTCCGATGTTTGAGGCCTTGGATCTGAGTCTGCACCAGACTTAAGAAAGGCATAGTATTGGTAGGGATGAATCAGTAATTACTTACATGACCTAAGGCCCAAGGTATGTACAAACAGAGCTGCAGAATACACAGGAATGTGTTTCTGTCTTTCACAGGTCAGTGGTTCAAGAGAAGTTGGTTCCTTTCCAGGAATGGAAAATGAAAGGAGGAATGTAGGAATTTTTAATCCCCAATCATGACTGCTGGTGAAGTTTTACTGCTGAGTAATATGGATTGGTAAATTAAAGAAGCAAAGAACAGCTTGACCCCCCTGTATTTCTGGTCATAGACCTGAAGTGCACTTCTTGCTTGCTGGCCCAAGGTAGTGCAAAATGGTAATGGGGAAAAAGTGAGAAATCTGATGAGGGAGTTACTCAGTCTTCTGTGATAGTGGGAAGGTAAAGGGGAAGCCATAAGAATTAATATGAATGCTGCTCCATTTTATTGTTCATCAAGTGAAAATATGTCTACTTAATAGAAAATAACCCTAGATTTGAAAAACCAGGAGTGTCTAAAGGTAATGTTTATATTGGTATCAATTTCAAATAGCTCCCTGAAATTTCATTCCTTCTGATGACTGCTGGGCTAGACAAGAGAAATTAGTTTAGATTTGCCTGTGAAGAATGAGGAAGTTGTTCTTGCCTACTGTCTTCCAGGTTTCTTTTATGGATGAAATAACATATGGAAGAAATAACATCTGCATGCAGTAATTAAAAGTGTGGAGAGGACATAGGAGATCCTTGGGAACATGTTGTTTGCTTGCTTTGTGTGATCTGCTTATTTTCTTTCTACTGCTCGCATTTGCCTCTTGTATCTTTCTTTAAAGTCATGCAGAATGAGACAGAAAAAGACTGGCTGTACCTGGGCACTGTAAAAAAGAGAATAACTTCTCTAATTACTTAGATTAGCTAAGTCTGCTCTGATAGACTTATCAATTTAAACTCTCCATCTGATGTTACTCTTTCCAAAGTGACAAAATTATTTTTGATGTTAGTATGTTCATTATATTGCACCCAAACAGAGATGGTGCCTTATGAACTAACAAAGTAGTCAGCTGTAAATTATGTTTCTTTTTTTCAAGTCAGCCCTTGGAGGTAATATCTGCTTTTAACCAAACCAAAATCTTGGCTGTCATAAAAGTTAAAGAATCAGTGTTAAGAAATATATGGGGGTAAAACCATTTCCATCATTACATTTTTCCCCTTTGTTCGACAGCATATAACAATCATAGAATCCTCAAAATGCCTTAACATTTAAGCTGTATATTGTGTATCCTGGGCTGCACCCAGAGCCCCGTGGGCAGCAGGACAGGGAGGGGATTCTGCCCCTCTGCTCTGCTCTGCTGAGACCCACCTGGAGCACTACATCCAGCCCTGGGCTCCCAGCACAGGAACCACAGGGACCGGCTGGAGCCAGCACAGAGGAGGCCACCAAGATGGTCAGAGGACTGGAGCATTTTTCACCCTGGAGAAAAAAAGGCTTTGGAGTGAACTAATTGTGGCCTTCCAGTACCAGAAGTGAGCCTGCAAGGATGGAGAGAGACTTTTTACAAGGGCTTGGAGTGAAAGGAAAGGGGGAAATGGCTTTAAACTGAGAGTAGATTTAGATAAGATATTAGCAAAAAATTCTCTGTCTTGAGGGTGGTGAAGCTCTGGAACAAGTTGCCCAGAGAAGTTGTGAATGCCCCATCTCTGGTAGTGTTCAGGACCAGGCTGGATGGATCTCTGGTCTAGTGGAAGATATCCCTGCCCATGGCAGGGAGTTGAAACTAGGTGATCTTTCAGGTTCCTTCCAAACCAAGCCATTCTGTGTTTTGTTATCTCATTTCTGAGTAGCCAGCTTTTCAACAGGGATAGAAGAAAGAAAGAATTCAGTGTCATCTTCTGTTGATACTGTGCATTGCCAGAGCAGTTGCTCTTGTTAGAAGTGAAATGCAGAAGAAAAAGGGAAGGTGTTACAATTCTTGCTTTCTGTGCCAAATATATTCACTACTTAGGCTTTAGTGGATACCTTGTGCATAAATAAATTTTAAAGGTAGCAAGTTGACTCTGCCACCTTTTCAGGATTTCATGTACTTCATCCTTTTGAGCTTGGTACCAGAAATCTTGTACACCTATGTGACATCACAGATAGCTTAGAGTAATGCCTTTTGGGATCCCTTCAAGGCAAAGCATTTTCAATTTGCTGTTCACAGTTAATTATAAAAACTAATTCTATTTTATAGGTTAATTTCCATTTTGTGTTTTCAACTCAGCAACTGCTGAGCTGGGGCTTAGCTGAAGAAGAGTTGCCTATTGTATGTCTTACCAAATATTTTAATCTCGTGGGCTGAGACTCATCATGAAAGTGTCTGCATTTGTTCACTTGAGCTCTGAGTTTGTTAGGCTTTTTAAAATTAAACAAAGGTACTTGAGTTATTTCTGTGACTTACACTTGGTGTATGTTCAGGTTAAAGTTAGTGATGATTTTTTTCTTGAAGAAGTTGAATCACCTCGATGCTTACGAGTCAGTGCACAGAGTTGAGTGGTGATAATAGAAATCTTTTAGTCAGAAACTAATCTGCCTGTCAGGCAAGGACTATAAGGACTAGTTGTACAGACAAAATCAAAGTTAAGGAATTACTGCAGGGGGGAATAGGTAGAGGATGCTAATCCTCTGTGCAGTCTTTTTCCAGGTTTGTTTTTTTTTCTTTAATGCAAGATCTGTGTCTCTTGGAAGAAGCATTGTGCAACAGCAACTTTTATAAGTTTTACTGTGGCAACAACTGCATGAATATCAAGGGTTCAGCTTGTCTTGCCTACACATGCAATAATGTTTTAGAATCACTGACTTTCCTGTAGTCTTGCAATGATTACATTAATTATGTTGTAATTGGTATTGTCTTTAACAGTTTCAGATACTTGGAGAAAAATCAACACAGTAAATTACATAAATTAAAACTTATGTTTGTTTTGCACACTTTCATTGCTGCTCAGGCAAATGCCAGCTGACTCAGTCATTAGCTGCATGCAGAACTGAGTTACTAATACTGAAAGCAGCATAACAATACTGGACTCTGCTAGCACCTGTCTCACTGCACTATTTGAAATACATGTGAGAAGTGGCAGAAAAGATAAATGAGAACTGTCCCTGTGCCTTATAAAAAACCTCTCTAATCCTTTGTGCCCATAGGAGAGGAAACTGAGGATTTGGGAGTTTGTTTTATTCTTCTAAATAGGTATTTTAAAAGCTTGACAGTGCTCTAATTTAAGGAAAGAGGAATTTTCCTACCTTCTGTAGAAAAAGAAGTGGCCTCCTATTTCTTCTGCTTGTTTTCATTGCTACCAGGAGGGGACTGGTGCAAACAGAGGGAATTCTTTTCCTTGGGCTGGAGAGAAGGACAGGTTGCTGTTGTTCAGAGGGTGAGGGCAGTTAAGTTTATTCAGTTTGCAGCCTGGTGATTGCTGCAGAGGGCTGTGAAATGTAGCTAAGGAGTGAAAGGTTTAAGGTATTGAAAAAGATCTTTGAGAATGTTTAATTGGAGCTTTAGGTGTAGAAAAAAATGGTTATATATTTTACCATCATTTTAGCATTGAAGTATTTGATCAGTCTGAAGCTAGGGTTAATTTGGGTTTGACATGGGCCTCCACCTCCTTGTCTGCAGAGAAGTTACAAATCTTGAAACGTTTTTTTTTTGCATTTAGAGCAATTTTGCTCCAAAATTGTAATTGTGATGTGATAAAGCTGGGGTGAAAGAGAGGACAGAAGAGGCTGGCTGCTGTGTGCAATGATGAGGAGGGGAGAGGGAGTTAAAGGAGCAGAACAACATTGTGCAAAACTGTTTTTTAACGGTTTTCCCATCATCACTCAAAATTTAAGTATTTTGAGTGCTAATGGCATAATTAATTTAACAGAAATCTAAATGCCATTAAGCTCTTTCAGACAATTACTACCTGTTCTACTTCCTTTGACTGCAGAACTTTATTAAATTATGGTCTTGCTTTTTGACGATTAACTTGATACTGTCAAAGGCTTCTCTTCAGTTTTTATGCTTGCAAAGTGTACAGTATGAACTAGTAATACTGACTTTTGATCCTGAAATCCTTTATTTAATCACTTGAAAGAAGGAGGGGAGGAAAACCCAGGGCAATATTTTATTCTCAAGCAATAACCTATCTTCTGTTGTTTTAGAAGGATATTATGGGCAATGTAAGCAGTTTTGCTTGAACTCCTGGTTGTAAGCTCAGAACTCCTGGTAGGGGTTCTGTACCT